GTGTTTGTAGTTGTGGCTCCAAAATTTCTGAACATATCGAGTAGAAAATTATCTATGCAACAGCGTGCCTATATTTTAGATAACATAAATACAATAAAAGTTATTTGCTTCTAAACATTTTGTTTTTTTTCATTTGCTTATAAAAAATGATTGGATAGTGTAATTGAAAAAAAAAGCACGCTGTTGCACAGATAAAGTTCTTCTTTACGTGTTGTGAAAATTTGGTAATTCTACAACAAATATGGTGCGAGAAAAGTTGTCCCGCGCTAAACAGTTTTTGCCATGTTGTTCCATTTGTAAGACGGAGGCAGCACATGCGGGTGTGTGTAATAACAGCCTTGTTCCTAGAATGAGTCTAGATAGGGTTACCATTGAGTTTTTAGACCAAATCCGGACATCAGTTCCGTTTCCGGGGGAGGGGGAGGGGGTAAAATTAAAGTTAAACAGTATTGTTCTTTCATTAATACAATTTTATTTAAATCTATAAATAAAACGTCTACATAAGAGTTATTAGGTTAAACATGTTATAATAATTAATTAACTTATACTAATAAATAGAAATTAGATATTATTAATTTATACAGAGTGAACCCGGAAATCTGTCACCAAACATAACTTTTTGTATCAATATAACCACGTTAAACGGTTACCTTTATAAAATCCGGACATTTTTCAAATCCGGGCGTCAATCCGGACTGTCTGGACGAAATCCGGCCGTATGGTAACCCTAAGTCTAGAACTCTAGAATCTATACAATAATAATATATGCTCATAAGTCATAAGGTTATTTTGAGAAAAAATTAAAGCAAAATGTAATACATAAACATTATAGTACAACATACATAAATGTAATCGTTACAAATATTAAAGAAAAAAAGTCATGGGGGGATCTATCCCCCCCCCCCCCCCCCCCCCCTGTTTGACCGCCACTGGTAGTGATGTCGTACGCGATCTACCTAAATGGGCGATCTACCGGTTTTTCCGAGCGCCGAGCGGTGCTAAGATAATTTACGATTTTAAGATTAATTTTTAGATTATTAAATCATAGCGTAAATTGTATTGATCCAAGTACAGGAGCACATACTCAGTCTATCGAGGGTCTTTGCCGTATTGTGAAGAAAAGATACGGTATAAGAGTGAACGGAGCTTCGCTTTTACTCGAAAGGCGGTTGAAAGAAGAGTGGTGGCGATCACTTCACGTCTTCACCCATCCATAGATATAATATTTAACGATTTTCTTTCAGACACACGAAAACGACCTTTTTTAGTTTAAGGTATTTTATAAAAATAATACTTGTATAATCTTTGTATATCATTATTTCGTTGTGATAAAAATTTTAAGATCAAAATAACACGGAAATCAAATACTATTTTTGGTAGATCGCGCACTACTCGAAAACAAGTTTGGTAGATCGCGTACGACATGAGTATCAAACAATGTACAATAATTATTGAAACACACACGGCGTGTTTCAGTGTTAAGAATCAGACGCACTATCCAAGCTTCCCATCCCAGTCCATCACGCTCCGACTAATAGCCTCGGCCCCATGGTACGTAACAAATGAAACCCTACACAATTATTTAAGAATTCCAACAGTTGACTAACTATCTAAATTATACTATAATAGATTTCACTCCAAATTGCAACACCATCCCAATCCTTTAGTCACTCACCTAGCATCACGTACTCTTCCAGACAACCCACGTCGCCGACTTAAAAGAAATTGGTGCCGTGAACAAAAAATAAATAAATTACTAGAGGGTACCATCACTGGATGATTTCCCTCATCATGTGCCTCATGTGTATTTTATATGTATATAGTGTTATATCAATTATCTATTTTACTTATTGTGTCATGTAACACAGATTGTAAATTTTCTAAAAAAAAAAAAAAAAGAATCAGACGATTACAATGCGATTTGAACGAGTCTAAATTTGGCGAGCTGAAAATATCAGTTTTAATCTTATTAACAGTTCGCGTTGATCTATATCTGCACACGGTTAGTAACTCGTAGGCTCAAAGTGTTTGTCGATCGCGTGTTTCCGAGTGGGAGTAAGTCGTGAACCACAGTTTTTCCCTTCGGATGAACCATTATTGTATTCGACCCACTGCGGCAATTTCCAACCGTTCCAAAACTGACGAATATTTTTTCAAACGCATTCGAATCGGAATACAAAATATATGATATACATAATGATAACTATATGCAGGTGTTGTTCGCAGTAGTTGTAGTTGTACCTACCGGGGAAGCAGTGTCGTCTCGTGGACCTTCTGTCGTTTTCCGCCGTCCCGACAAAACGAATAACGTGATGTTCTATCAAAACTAATCGTCGTTGTTCTGCGGCGGTATCGCAATCCGCAGAATCGATAATATTGTTATTATTATTATTATTATTATTATTACTGTCGTTACAATTATTATTATTATTATTGTTACATCGCCGCGTCGTCGTATCACAGAATCCGCACGATTAACGATAAACGCTTATCAATATCGACCGACTCTCCGAGTCTTGTGCACATCGTTTTATCAATTATTATTATTGTTGGCGGAACGCGTATTATTAATATTACAATAATTGTAAATTGTTACTACTGCTTCGTGATTTACTATCGTCCGGTTGTGCGTTTAAAATTTAAATAATCTATTTCCCATCATAACGTCGTTTGTGTTCCTCGCGGCGCGGAGTAATACGCATTGTAAATAATTTTTTATCCGCTAAATCGTTTTTGTTTTTAATGTCAACCGTTCGGTCGTTGGCGTCTGCGGCCGGATTCCGGCTCTCTCGTTGAACGGTCTAGTTGGTTGGTGCAGACGACGATGGTCCGACGGACGGCTGACGACGAAATATGTCGACATAATTATCGCCACGGTGTCGACGGCATGAACCGCCGGGCATAGAAACGATCGACGACCTCAAGAGAGCACCGGGACGAGAGTCGAATCGTTTCGGGACAGGACTGCACAGCAGTTCGCATTGCACGCCCTACGCCGACACGTCCGAGAAGGCGAGATATTCAACGGTTTATAAACGACATGCAGTTACGACGAAACAATACAAACTAACCAATGGATTTCATTAGACGGACATCACTGTTGTTGGTATTATCGTCGTTACTCGTCAGGCAATCAACACAAGTCAGTAAGTACCGATTGGGTATGGTGTCCTCAATTAGATTGATTATGTTTCTTTTTTTTTTAACAATTTATCATCAAATCAATGAGTTCGATTAACACCAAAAATGAATTGGTAAAAACATTTTTTACTTCCAACTAGGTAGGTAGGTCCGCATTACTAACTCAAAGATTCCGTATATAAGGTATATTTATCATTATGTTGATATTAATTGACTTGAGACGTAATCAACGTTATATGATTTCATTAAATATCTTCCTAATAAAAAAAATAATTTTCAACTCTCTTGAAGTCTAATCAATGCATTGGTACTTACAAATTGATGATTTTTCAAGTATATTTTTGTTTTTTTATTAATTTAAATACCTATGCATAAAAAGTTGTGACAATATGCTTTGAGTGTCAAATAAAAATAATACTGATACTAGAAATACTATTTATCAATTACTGTGTTTCCATCTACTTGCCAATTTTTTTAGATTATATCAAAACATAGTTATTGTTGACAAAGCGAATACTTTTAGAACACAAAATTTCACATATTTCGATACAAATAATACTTAGGTATATGACTAATTAATCTAATATACGTTTAGTATAATTTTATTGAAATTTTTTTTTTTGATATTTAATTAGTTATGGTGTAAATAGGAGGCTAATTTAGGATATTACCTTGCTTACTAGGTACTATTAGTTCTTAGATAAAAATTTCTTGACATTCTTAAATGGTGGTTAACTAGTTATGATCATATATTTTTTCCATTTTTTCTCTAAGAGATGAAACATTTTAATTACAGTTAGTAAATTTAAATTTAGTTTTGAATAAGTAATAAAACAAACTATTAAGATACCAAAACAAATACCAACATTTTATAATTATATATTGTACCAATCTTGCATTGTTATCTTTAGTATTAGAATTGATTGACCTATTATCAAACTTACTAGAATATTATCTATACTCTATTCTAAATAAGTCTAGAAAAATGTACAATGAAAACAACTCCGGTTTCGCGCAAGTGTGTCACATGATCTGCCAGCCGCCTAATCACGACGAGTAATTTAAACTGTAGCCAATCACAGCGTACCTGCATGTGTTATTTTTTCCAGACTTATTTAGAATAGGTGGACAACATCTCATATAGGCTTTTATCAATATTTAAATTTTAATGTGAATTTTAACTAGGTTCCTATGTATTTATTTCAATTTTAAAAAACTGATTACTTTTTTTTAAATTAAAAATATCAATAAAAGCCTAATTGAGGTGCCCTAAGATCTAGATATTATTCTTACATATTCTTACCTTTAAGTTTAATATAGTTTGATAATATCAAGTCTTTTTAATTTAGCCTATAATATCTTTATTCACAACAATAATATTATAGATATAGATTAGTTTACATGGTATATCTAAAAACTATAGTCTAAAGTATTTTAGCCCACAATGTATGTATAGCATTTATAAAAAGTGAGAGTTTTGAGCCGTATTTTAACAATATTTATACCTAATTTATATGTTTCCTCGGATAGTTTACAATATAGTACACATAGATAATAGTTCTGTTCAAAATACAGATAAGAGATATACATGCAGTATCTAATAATTTTAGATAAACATTAAACTATAAAATATACTTATCTTAATATTATAATTTTTTTAATAATCAATTTTCAAGTTGTAATTCTATGAACAAACAGTCTAATGTGTGACAAATAAGTAAAATATTGTGACCTTATAAAAATATGAAATTAATTGACACAATGTTAATATTCAAACGTTACAACATCTGACCATTATGTTCATATGTATTTAAATTTTAAATTAACTAATGTTTGATTTTATTTTAGATTTAGATCCTCCTAGTGGATATTGTGCTCAGTATAATGGGAAGATATGCAGAAAGTATTTAAATGCTTCAATACTTATATGGTTTAATAACACTTTAACAAATGAAGGAAGTGAACAAAATGAAATAATCACTACAGGTCTATGGGAAGAAATGTTACCTAGCTTTTCAAAAACATGTAGACCAGCAGCTGAAGTACTTATCTTTCTAAGTGGCTTAAGGTTTAATAGTTAGTTAAGAATTTTATTAATTGCTTTATCTTTAATTTTTAGAAACTTCTATGTTTATACGCATTTCCTCATTGTAATCAAGATAAGTCTTATTTTCCACTTTGTTACGAAGATTGTATTGCTGTACGAGAATTATTTTGCTATAAAGAATGGGCATTGATTGAAGCAAATAAACAAAGGGGAATTTTTTATAAATCTAAAGGACATTTTTCTTTACCAATTTGTGAGAACTTACCACATAACTCGCAGAATGGTAAACCTGTATGTTCACATGCCATGCTCACAGAGCTTAAACAAGACGAAATAACTAGTAAGTATTAGTGTTTAATATGAAAAGAATGTCATAGGTAGTAATTTATTTTTTATTTTATTATGAAACAAATAATAATTAAGATGCTCCTATTCATTACCTACAATTATTGGATTTTGAGGGAACAATTAATGTATTTGGATTAGAATAATGATTTTTTTGCCTGTCCTCAAGTTTTGGGGGAAAAAAATAATTCAAGATTCAACTTGAAATGTAACAAATTAAATCTTTGGTACTTTGAAGATAGTATCTTTAAACAAGTTAATTCCCCATACTTTTCAAAATAATCAGAAAAACTTAATCATTACTAGCACAAGAAAAAATAACTAAAAAAATTTGGCACTTAATTATTTACAGATATTTTACTTTTTGGCTTAAGGTAATGAAATGATATCTAATTTTTTTATCTTGTCCTAATATTTAAAATGTTTTTTCTAATATTTTATCTAGAATATTAATTTATTAAAACTTATTTCTAATAATAAATGTTATTTTAGAAGTTAAAATAAATGTACATTATGTGATTAGAAGAGGTGTTTTCTGTCTTTGTTAGGAATGTAGGTTTGTAATAATTACCAACATACTAATTGATCTAGTGAAGCAATAGAACTGAAAACTGGTTTGAAATTTTCGTAAAATCTTCTTGATATTGACTACTACAATTTTGATTTTAACTTCTTCGAAAATTAAAATATGAGATTTATCTTAGTTTAAACTTTTTTAGAATGTAGGCCTTGTAGGGGGATAAAATCATCAATGGAGAAAAGTCAAAATCTCAAGTATGTTTAACAGTAATTCAAATCTGTTTTCAGAATTCATTAAATCTACAATGTCTCAAAATTTTTATGTTATTTCTGTATTAAATGCAGCCAGAAAATCACTGCTTCAAAACCTCTTTATTAATGTACCCATTTTGTAATTTTTTATTTGATATTTAATTTGCATATTTTTTGTTCTCAGTTTCATTAAATAATCTTATCGATTATTCTCAAAATATTAAGAAAATTAATTTTTTTTAGTTGATTGCATTCGTGGCAATGGTCGTTTCTATCAAGGATATATTAATGTTACTAAATCGGGTTTGCCATGCCAAAGATGGGATTCAAAAGTTCCACATGAATTTGTTAGACCACCAAATGTATTTCCTGAAGTTCAAAATTCTGAAAATTATTGCCGAAATGCTGGAGGTGAAGTGTCTTCTCCGTGGTGTTATACTATGGATCCTGATGTGAGATGGCAAAAATGTGATGTACCCCTTTGTGGTGAGACTTTGGCCATTACTAGTTATAATATAAGTGTTGTTATCTTTATTATTTAACTTATTTATTCTCATAATTATAGACAAAAATGAAACTGAATTAGTGGAAACAAAACTTGATATCATTAATAATGACACGGCTATAAATACCATTACAATGATCATAAACCATATTGAAACGTTCATTGATCAAACATCAACACGACATCTACATATATTTCTTGTGATTGTTGCAGTTTTGATACTTTTAGTATCAGTTTTAATATTAGTGCTGTGCAACAAGTTGTTGTCCAATAAAAATTCATACAGATCAACACAAACTCGAGTAAATATATATGGTTCTATGTTAAGTAATAACTAACTATTTTTTTATATTATTAGACTATTAATGACATGACATAATGTTGATTATAGGAAGTTGATATAGATTTAGATAAATTACCAAGTAATTCTGCATATCATCAATATGGAATGTGTTCAAACCCAAAATTAGAAAAACTTGAATTTCCCAGAAACAATATAATATATGTAAAAGACTTGGGTCAAGGAGCATTTGGGCGTGTATTCCAGGTGAGATAAAAATTTAAAAGCATTTAAATATCTATTGATTATATTAATCTTTTATAATTCCTAGGCCAAAGCACCGGGCCTGTTGAAAGACGAAGAATTTACGTTGGTTGCTGTAAAAATGTTAAAAGATGAAGCTTCAAATGATCTACAAGTCGACTTTGAACGAGAAGCTTGCTTGTTGTCAGAATTCGATCATCCTAATATTGTTAAGTTGTTGGGAGTTTGTGCTTTAGGTAAACCAATGTGTTTACTTTTTGAATACATGGGTCGTGGCGACTTAAATGAATTTCTTCGTTCATGTGCACCAAGCAATTACATTGTACATTCAACTGAAGCTAGGGGTGATGTTTTTCGTGATTTAAATCTTACAAATTTGGACATGTTAAAAATAGCTCAACAGATTGCTTCTGGTATGGTTTATCTATCTGACAGAAAATTTGTGCACAGAGATTTAGCAACAAGAAATTGTTTGATTGATGACACAATGACAGTAAAAATAGCAGATTTTGGGCTTTCGCAAAAAATGTATTTACAAGACTATTACAAAGGTGATGAACATGATGCGATACCTGTTAGATGGATGCCTTTAGAGAGTATTCTTTACAATAAATATACAGTTGAATCAGATGTTTGGGCATTTGGTGTGTGTCTTTGGGAAATTTTTTCTTTTGCTCTTCAACCGTATTATGGCATGACACATGAAGAAGTCGTTAAGTTCATCAAAGATGGCAACGTTATGAATTGTCCTGAAAATACTCCAAAATTGGCATATGAGCTTATGAAACAATGCTGGAGTCGAAAACCAGATTCACGTCCAACTTTCCGTACAATTTATCAGACTTTAGAAAATGTTCGACAAGAAGTTGTTTGCCGTATGAATGGTGGTCTGCCTTCACATGCCCATTTGTGATTTACTGTAATATGTGGAAAGCAATTAAGCTATGTTGTATATTATATCATTGTCTGATTGTGTAACAATTTACGTCTTGTATAAATATATTAAACAATCAAAATGTTTAATTTAATTCCTCAATGACAATAATTTTGTTATATCATTGATAAAATCATTTTTTAAGACTGTTTTAGTAGAATAGTAATTTATTCTTAGCTGATTTATTTCCCTAAGCACTTGATTTTATTTTTTCAATAGAAACTTTTACACAAACAATATCACTTGAGGTTTATATAAAACATTTTTATTTAGGTACCAAATATTATATTATATTTTCTTAAATATTTTTTAATACTTAACAATGCTATTGTAAATTAACTTTAATTCAGGAAGTAAAGTTTGCCAAAAATAATATTTGATTGTTGGTAATAATCTGATTTTAACTATTAACTCTTGATAATCTGTATAGTTCATAATATTTTTGTTTTAGTCAATATCTGTACTCTGTAGGCATATACTAGTCGTTCTTTTACTATGTATTATCTACCTAATAATTGTGTCGTGTTTTTGTATTTATGTTAATTGACAAAATGAAATTAGTTAAGAAATGTACTTGGAAGTTTTAAGCTTTGAATTTTACAATATTCAATTATTTATTTATCATTATTTTATTTTGTGTGAAAATAATAAGTGACAAAAGTAATACTGTAATTATTATTTATGTAAATAAAAATTTTTTATTTATTACAATTTTTCTTAAATTACTTCAACGAAAATATTTTATACAATTTATTATAAATACATAATAAACCATAAACATTACAATGATATAACCGTTTAATGCTATGATAACTATGAACAATGAATTTAGTTTTAAAATCTGAAACTTAATTTAATTAGATGTAATAAAATACATATAAAAAAAAATAGAAAATAATATTGAATTGTCTTATGTAATTCTAAGATTCTTCGGATATTAACATAAACAAACACAAATTTAAGTTTAACGAAAGTAATTTAAAATTAGCTATCACTTGTTTGTTTTCTTCGGTTAATTTGATTGATTTGATACAAGAACTATGATTTGTTGTATCTAAAATATCATTTTAATGTTTATAAAAATTAGATTTTTAAGACAATTATACTATTATGTACCTACAATATAGTTAAGATTTTGTTAAATATTTTTATTATCTACCGTATTACATGTTTGTTTATAACTTTGAATTTTACTTTCAAACAATTACTTTACTGATAACTTACAAATCATAACGTACAGAAGTTACTTCTTATGGAACTTTACTTTAGAACCAGAGTATTTGAGTCCATCAACCAAATGGTTTAAGAATATAAACATATGTTAGTTATGTAGTATAACAGTATGATGTAGCATATTGTGTATTTCAAATGTATGTTGGCATTCATAAGGTAAAAAACAGAAATAGAAAATATTTTTATTTAGTTAATCAAGTAAATTGCATTTTAGATATTATATTTCTATAATATTTATCATGCTTAATTGTTCATTAAAAACTATATATCATAAAATAGTTTCTTACTTGATAAAATATTTGAACTGTTCTATTTATTATTGGTTGTTGGTAAATCATTCTTTATTTCTTTTATCATTCTTTTAACATTTTTGATAATTCTTATACAAATAGTTTCTAAAAATGAAAAATTCAAGCTTTAATTTTGATACATTAAGTAATATAATAACAGTGCCTAGCTTAACTTCCCCGTTTTACTTATAGAAGGAGCATGGAAGTAGTTCTGGCAGTAAACATAGGTAGCGCTGCAAGTGTTGTTCCACACATATATACATGTGCAGAACACACATCAGATTTTACTTAATTAGAGTGTTAATACGTAATTACCATTTTAAATCATGATTTATGAATATTTCTTACAAGTTTCAAACAAATTCAACAAACTACAAATAAACTAGTCTTAAATCTCATTAGTAACTTGTCTTTAGTTTTGAAGTTATTTTTCAACGTTCTTGTTGGATTGACTTATTATAATAACACATCACTGTAATGCAATTTCACTGCACTATCCAAGAAAGCTGGCCTGATTATGTCCGTCTATGGTTTTACTAGAATAAAAGAACTTTTAAATAGGTAACCTAATGATTATTCAATAAGAAGTTTTAAAATAGTATTTCCGAAATACATGTATGAACCACCCAAACTAGAAATAGACACTGGATTCTAAAACAATTCTCAAAAGCAAATCTTGGAACTATTAGATGAATGCTGAGTCGGATAGTTACTAAATATTTATTGGACCAAATAATGAGCTAATGGTCCCTTAAAAATGATTTAGTGATCTTTGATAAGTAATTTAATTTTAAAAAAAATCATTAAATTAACTAACCGTTAGCAAGTAACAAAGGTAAATATTTAGTTGTTTAAATTTATTTCCGATTACAATATTACTTACTCTAAGTAGGAAATAATGCAGGCTTATTGAAGATAAATTTGAGTAATGAGTTTAAAATGATTTCAAGATTCCGAAAGTGAGTATGATATGTTCCCCTCCAAAAAGAAATTCCATAAGAAAGAATTGATTGCACTAGTGAAATGTATGTCAATTTTTTTAATTTAAAGGTTAAGATAGATCTAAGAGATTTATATATATAGAAGAATTTTCTTAAAGTATTATTAATATAATTTATGTGTACGTCCCATTAAATTAGCATCAATAAACAATCCTAGGTATTTAATAGAGTTTACTCTATTTAATTCCCTACATTTGCATATATTATTTTTATTATTATTAAGTACACAACTATTAGTATGAGCAATGATTTTATAATCATTCAAATCAATCGGTGCAACTCGTTTGCGCACAATCTACATTTTTTATCTAGATATCGATGACTCGTTTGCGCACAACGAAATCAGTCGTTTACCTGTAACGGACGACTCGTTTGCGCACAACATAAACACTGAGTAACATATATTTTATATTTTTAAATTTGGACTTACCTAAAGTAATTGAATTATCGGTAAAAATTATCAGTACAAATTACCAGCATATCAATAGTCAATATATATCGATTTAAAATAATCGTCGTGTATTAGGAAAGCATAATACTTTTAAACAGTCGTTCGCCAGAAAGCTGTACTATAACAACTGACTATATTGACTATGGATATCGAAATTTGTGATGTTTTTGAAACGCGTCGAGGAAAAAAATGTTTAAACATAGAAAATTATAAATTTAGAGAATTCCGAACTTTAAAATCTGGT